CACATCAACTGAATTCGGTCTATGACCGATTTAGACTGGCTCAGACCAGTCTTCCACTAGTAGATTTCGCACAAATCAGAGGTTTCGACACAGAGCAGGATGTATAAGTAGACTAGTGGAATACTAAGCTAATTTCAAGTTATACAACGTGCACACGAGGCGCCAGTGAACACGTGCTTGAAAATCGAAATAATATAAAAACAACACCCCGCTCACACGTCCGAGTGATGAATAGAAGAGAGAGGCACCAAAATACTGTTTCTGTCATCCTCAGCATCACTGTATAGAACCTCCGCATCTTCTAAGGCCTTGTACTCTTCAAGTTCCATCTCAAGCTCCACCTCCTCCATCTGCTCTGAGTTTACTTGGGCATAGTCAACAATCATGTCGCGCTAGTGGAAGTTGAGGGCTTCAAGAGCCTCAAAGATATCAGAGCCGAGCAATGAGCAACGGTCGGTGTTCACCAGCTTTGCCCGTGAGAAGAGCCGTTCGCGCAATACCGACAATGCAAGTATTCCAAGGATGTCCAGAGCCATCCTAGCAAGCATAGGATAGATGTGCTTGTGGGCCTAGACGTCCAGCAGTTAGTGTGTGCCTTTCAGCATGCAGCAATGAACATACATGCCACCATGCAACTGTGTCAGTGTTCTTCGTGACGTCAGGACAGGGATCTTCATGGTAGTGCTTCAGTTCAGCGCGCCAACCACCAGCTGCCGTGCTGAAACGTGCCCTGCGAGAGCGGTCAAAGTTGTCCTCATCATCGTCAGTGGTGGCCGCAGAGCTTTGTGTAGCTGCTTTTCCAATGCCGCCAGCCGAGGTGACAGTTTCCTTTGCCCGATCTTGCTTCGCGCCAAATCGCTTGGGCCAATACTCCTCCATCTATGATAGCCGGTAAGCTCAAGCTTCAAGATCACAAGCAGATGAATATCTTACCGCTTTTTCAATGATTTCCTCAGCGTGTTCTTGCCAGTTGACTGCGTCCAGGTTTTCTGCCTTCATTGCCTCCTCCTGCTCCTTCTTACTGCTCCATTTCATCTCTATGTAGTCCGACTTATAGTACAGATGAAGAACTGCATGCTAAACGTAAGCTAGATGCATGAGCACAGAGAGGATGGGACAACAGCTTATGGAGTGTGAGAACATATGCACATGAGTCATCAAGCTTCCAGTAATACTTGCTAAGCTTGTCGACGCCATCATGAAGTGCAGAGTAAAATTTCTTGTAGCGCTTGTCATCAGCCTTCTCCCACCACGCGCACAAGTTCTCCAGCACAGGAATTGCGCGGTGGAGGGTGGAAATGCGATCAGCCGAGAAGTGTTGCTGGTACTTGTTTGCATTCTAATGCTTCATCAGTGTGCTCACATATGATATGGAATAAGAAAAGGTGGCATACTGCAAGAATATCAGCGCACAACTGGATCCAGGCCCAGTCCTCCTCTTGAATCATGAATGCAGTCCACAGAATCTTCTTCGCTACCTTTCCGTTCTTGCGAATGACAGTGATTGGACCGAAGAGCTCATCTGCAGTTGCTGTAAAAAGCCAGAGGATCTGAGAGAAAGGTCAGTAAAATGCACGATTCATGAAGACATTTACAAACCTTCTTAAGTTTATGTGCGTGCGTTAACGTCTTGTATGCGCTGCCTCATCGGGTGTTGTTCTGTAGCAGTATGACAAGTGCTTTGGCGATGCCGTTCTCAACTTGAAGTTGCTGGAAGCGCTGCTTACACTGTCCCGAGGCCTGTATCTACACGAAGTTAATAGGATAAAATATATAAAGGCAAGCGTCATGGCTGAAATATCTTGATAATAAGTGTGCAAATAGCGGCAATAATGTTGAGACTGTCACGAAGAAGATTTTCATTGGCACTCGGGTCGTAGTCCCAGATGGACTGCTTCAACTCAAGCACAGCCACCTTAGTTACCGCGGCCATAAAAACCTCTGTGCCCAAGGAGACTACATGCGCCAGACAGCTAAACAACAAGTGGTATCAGTAGAAGCATCAGGAATATTGATACATGATGTACCTAAGCTTGCATTCCTCTGCACTCCAGCCAGCAATGCCGCAGCGAGCAAATTCAGTCTTGACTTTGAGTGCTGTTGTGTCATTATTGCTTGCGTTATCTGCAGTAACGTAGCCAAGCTGTAAATAAGGTGAGTCAAGTAATAACAGTTAAAATTAAGCGTACATCACCTTGCTTTTTGTCTTTGAGACAATGCCTATGTGCTCGAGAAACTTCAAGAAGTACCGTCCAAGGTTCTGGCCATCATGCGCGCCAACAACAACATTGAAGCCTAATACCTCTGACCGAAGCTTCCAGCCATCGGGAGAGACATCGATCCATTGACCTGTAATGCCAAAGCATGAATCACTTGTGTGTTCACACGTTCATAGGTCCCAACTAACAGAGATCTCACCAGGAGCATTCTCGATCGCCGTCTTGGTGTTACTGATATACTCAACAAACTTGTTGCAGATGTTCTGCCGCACTGTCCAAGTTGTCGGGAGCTCTTCACACGTGGTTTTTGGGCACATGACAACAAGTGTGTTAGTGAACGCAACTTCATCTGCAAGCGCAAGAGGCTAAGTAAGCATTCAACAATCAGCCGGAGGAACTCTCGGATCATCAAATAAGGTACGCACCAAGTTGGATACTACGATCATTGTGCTAATGGCATTGAGGGCCGTCCACTTGGTGAACTCTGGTATCTTCACAAGCTTCTGAACAATGCCATCTAGTGACAACTGAGTGACAGTCTTTGTTGTCTTAGAAGATGCTGCAGCTGCCGTTTTGTGTGCCTTGCAAACTTTGACAGGGATAGCCTCTTTGCTCTCCTTGATGTCTGCTTCCTTGCAGCACGTTTGGTAAAGTGCGTAGTGGCGTGAGACAATGTGGCGGCACAAACTTGAGTTGCCTCCAACGAGCCATATCTGAGGGTGATGCTTGAATCCCTTTGCTTTGGGATCATCTCTAATGACAGCGGTGAGTGCTTGCAGTAGAACTCAAGTAGTAGCGTGCACTCACCTGCACACTGTGCACCACCGGCCACTTTCCACAGTAATACTGCCATCAGGAGGGCCCTTGATTTTGAGCTTAGTGCTCACAGTGAAAAAGAGGTCAAGGCCACGGGTCGTCTCGCCCTTCAGAGCAATTACCTCAGCTTCTTTAAGCACAACTTCATCATCCTGTGGGAAGACATTATCCAATGTGGTGAGCCATGCAGACACTGAATGAACACGGCACTTACGTCGACTTCAATAAGGGCTTCACTGTCAACAGAGCCCATGTTCACTTCGATTACTTTGTTATTATTGTCATCATCTGTGGAGCTGCTGCCATTGCTGGAGTCTGCATCTTCATCATCTGCATCTTCATATTCTTCGGCTTCCTTGGCCTCTTTAGCATGGTGAGACAGTTGGCACAGACGCTTTGGCCGCTTCTTCGGTGCATTGCTAGTTTCCTCTATGTCGGAGGTCACGCTGCTCTTGTGCTTAGAAGTAAGTGTGGCAGTTGTGGACGCTTTCCCAGCGGCTTTCTGCACTGCAGCCTTTAGTGCTTTCTTTTCAGCGGACTTTGCCATCCTGATGTGGAACAAATTTCTTACTGCTTCTGGTATGTCATTTCCCACAACTTTGCCAGAAAAATTCGGCATATGCCGAATGTTCTGTATAGTTTGATCACACTTGGTAGCTAGTCACACTTCTGTCACACTGCGGCTTTCACTGAGTATGTATTCACTTTCAAATAAATCTAATTGGAGTTTTAAATAATGCATAGACTCTAGCTTAAGTTCCCTATATAACCGGATAAGCTTACAAGAGCATAGCAGCTCTTCAGAAATTAAACTATACATATGCCAGTGGCCAGGCCATTCTCTGGATGCCAGTTTCATTATTTTTAATCAGTCTATGACTGGTCCTGACCGGTTATGACCAGTCCTAAGAACACCCGAGGCCAGCTGGGACTAAGGACTGTGACCAAGACTGGACTGACATAGGACTGGACCATACCCAGTCCTAATTAGTCCAGTCTCAGTCTCAGTCCCAGTCCTAACCAGTCCTTAGGACTGGACCCTCGACCACTATGGCTAAGACACCTGAGCAGATAAATTATACTCAGTAACTCAAGTGGAATCAATAGCAAATATTCAATGTCTTCATGTCTCAGCCACACTGGTGTCTTAGCCATAACATCAGAATATACCTTTGTACAATTACATTCCACTGCTTTAATATGTAAATCATTGGCTAAAATGTAGGAGACTTCAAGGCAGAAAAGCAATATTATAGGGCAATTCTGACCATACATTTGCAAGGTCTTATGCCTTAGTGGTATGGCATGCTGCAGTTACTTTCAGGCTGTGGGTTCAATTTTTGCTTGTGCCATTTTTTGGGCTTTTCAGAAATTCTCGAGCGTGTCTTAGCCACTTGGGCGCTTATGAGCGGCTAGTCTGGTGTAACTTAATAAGTTTGCGTGTCTGTGCCGCCAAACTGAATCGGCTCGTACTTCGCGCCCGTTTGTATTCAATCATCTGATATTAGCGTTACTTCGGTACCATCCGGCTCGCCTGCGCAGCCCAGAGATTTTCGTGATTACCGTAAGTGCCTAATAGTTACGGTTACACTAGACCGGCTCAGAGTTGGTCCTCGTTCGCCAGTACACACCGTACGAGTCTAATATTACGATCGGAATCCTGCAAATGATCCGAGTCGGAGCCGCGGCTTACATTCGGAAGGAGGAACCCTGTTCTTGATTCTCATGGCATCATTTCAAACCGCCCAATAGTGTATTGAACCCTGGGAAACATATCAGGGTCGGACGACTCTTGTCGCGTACACCTGATGCCAGATAACTGCAATATGCCAGAGGCTTACCAAAGGGGGTGCCCACGGCTGCGGGCCTTTCTCAAGGCTAACCACGTTATGCAAAACGATAAGCAAAACCGGTTTCTCACTACCCCCACTCTCACCGTGACTCCCATTGCCGCCGCTCCTCCCAATGACCTCGTTAACCGACACACATTCCATTACCGCAAACTGGCTCGCAGCATTCGCCCGCGCAATCAGTGATGGCGATGCACAGCGTGTCGCAGCGACGTTCCTTCCAGAGGGCTGGCTAAGGGACGTTCTCACTTTCGTCTGGGACACCCGCTCCCTTCGTGGACGAGAGGCAATCCAGCGCTACCTTACAGAATCGAACCATCTCTCCCAAGCCCAGATTTTCAATATCGCTCTCGAGACAGACCCGTTTTACACACCGCGCGAGTCGTTCGCTCCAACAGGTGACCGGGTTGGTGTCGAGACCGGGTTCAAGTACGAGACGCGATATGCTATCTGCCGAGGCTATGCACACTTGCGGCAGGTTGAGGATGGCACTTGGCAAGCTATCACCGTTGGCATGATTGCGCTCGACCTCAAAGCACATCCTGAGCCGATGAACGTCGCTCTCGACTGGGAAGCCTCCGGTCGGACCTGGGATGTGCTCGAGGCTGAACGAAAGGCGAAGATCGAGACTGACCCTCATGTTCTCATTAGTGAGTCATATACGCTACTTGTAGGCTTTGCGGTTACGAAACATTTATAGTTGGAGCTGGACAATGTGGCTTGAGCACTGCTGCGAGGTTCCGGCAGATGGACATCCCGACCTTGGTCATTGAGAAGAATGCGCGCATCGGCGACAATTGGAAAAAGAGGTACAAGAGTCTTGCCCTTCATACTCCGGACTTCTATTCTCCAAGTGAGCTCCAATGTTCTCTGGGTACTATTTTCATTGAGCGGGCACGGCGTAGTGTTGTATCAGCCCTTCCCGTCTGATTGGCCCGAGTACGCGCCAAGGGATAAACTCGCGAGCTGGTTTGAGTCGTATGCCGTCAACCAGCACCTTACTATCTGGACGAAGAGCACCCTCGCTGCGCAGCCCCAATATGATGAATCCGAGGGTGTCTGGCACGTCTCCATCGATCGCGACGGCAAGAATGTGACGCTGCGCCCCAAGCACATCGTGCTCGCAACGGGCGTACTCGGCGCGCCACGAGTGCCCGACCTACCCGACCAGACCAGCTTCGCAGGCACGGTACTGCACGCGGCACAGTTCGTCGAACCTGCGCCCTTCGCAGGTAAACGCGTTATTGTCGTCGGCGCCGGGAATTCGTCTATCGACATCTGCCAGGACCTCGCCACGGGAGGTGCGGCGTCGGTGACCATGGTGCAGCGCTCGCAGACTTGCGTCGTCTCGCGAAGCTCTGTCAAGGGTGACATGCGGCACAACTGGCTCCCTGGCGAGCCCGTTGCTGTCGGCGACTTCAAGTTCTCGGCGCAGCCGCTCGGGTTCTTCAAGGAGATGGCCCAGAGTATGCCTGAGGTACTCTGGGCGCGCGAGAAGGAGCTACACGACAAATTACGCAAAGGCGGACTCAATTTGTACTTAGGGCCCGAGGGGGAGGGGCAATTTCTCATGGTCTTTGAGCGCGGTGGAGGTAAGTCATGAATTAATTGAGAAATCCAAGTGATGGTAGCGCTTACAATCTCTGCTAGGCTACTGTATGACCTTTCTTCTTTGCGTACAGATGACTATCTGATATTTCACAGGGATGGACAAGGGTGGGGCGGACCTCATTGCGTCGGGTCAAATCAAGATCAAGCAAGGCTCTAGTCCGAAGTCCTTCGCGACAGACGGCTTGATCTTTTCCGACGGATCCAAGCTACCCGCGGATGTGGTGATATTTGCGTAGGCGTCCTCTAATAATCGATAATCCGCCCACTGACATAACTTCAGGACGGGCTACGAGCTCCTTCGCGATGTCCAAAAGCACACTTTCGGTGAGGGGGTGATTGACCGCACGAGCGAGACCTGGGGACTTGACGAAGAGAGCGAAATCAATGGATGTTTTAGGCCCTCAGGCCATCCAGCGGTAAATAAATTGCTCTCGCGCAACGCCTAGATACTGACGTTGAACAGCTATGGTACGCCATTGGGGATTTCTTCAACTGTCGGTTTATGTCAAAGCAGCTGGTACCCACAAATTTTTTTCTCATGCGAGCTGGAGCTAAATTTCATTCGCAGGCTATTCTGATCAAGGCGGCTGAACTGGGGTTGTATAATCCTGAGCAAGATCAGCGAAAGGTGACTGTAGACGCCCCGAGGGCGAAGATGTAGCGAAAAGTCGCGCCTCGAAATACCCTGTTCCGGCCTCGACTTTTTGACAATGTCTTTGCCGATATGTAGTATGTCATAATGAAATGGACTGGCATAAATGCCCAATTTAGCTTCGATGCTCCCATCAGTGAGGAGAGAGCTAGAAACTGCATCTAGGCCAACTTCACGAACTGAACGCTCTGCTGCCTTAAGGCCTCATGACTCGTTCTCCACCTCCAGCTCCCGGCGACCCCGTAGAGTCGTCAATCGTCCATCCCATGACTTTCGACGATCTCGTAACTGAGATATTGGGACATCATTACAGAGACAGACGTACACTCGCGACGGGCGCGGGTACAAGCTGTGGTGTGAGAGTACTTTTAGTGAGAGTCAAGGCTCTTCGTTATCCCTTCTGCCCTCGTCGGTGTTCGATATATGATGGGCTGGAAGTCAGGCCCCGCATATAACGAGCGCCAAACCACACGTAGAAACTTCCGAGTCCTCCACAGCGCGCAGCTTCAAATGCAATGCCTCGCTTCCTCAGGGGCCGCTGTTGAGCGTTGTGCACTATGCAAGTGGCGGGAGGAGGCACAGACGCGGAAGATTGGATAAAAGAGGCTTGTGTCAACGTCCAGTGAGCTTCACTTTCTTTGACCGCCGTTCGTATACTGCAGGCGTGTCCCGCTGATGACATCTTACTGAGAAAATTAGGAAACATACGTGCGCAAGGGTAGCGTAGCGTTTGTCAGGTGTGCGCGACGTCCTTCGGGAGTGCTTCGGGGATCGCGGAGACGGCTAAATATGCGAGAAGGGACTGGCAAGATCGACGGGAGGCACCTTCCTTTGAAGCATGGCACTGCGGCTTTTATTCACCTCCACCCTGATTGCTTGGACATAACCCTGACCCGCGGGTATTACAACAGGAACGGTGAGTCCTATGCTAAACGACCATGCGAACCTTGAGCTTGTCCCCGCCAACGATCTCCTGCCTCTTTGCAACCAGCGCCTCCACGTCCCACCGAGCGTCCACGAACCGCCCAGCGAGCCAGTCGCGGCGCTCCCGGACGAGCCACACGATCGTGTGCGCGGCCAGCTCGGGCGTGTCGACGAGCACGCCCTGCGCCAGTATGTCTTCCGGCATACTCAAGGACATGTCGGACTCGACGGACCCTGGGTGGACCGAGTACGCGAGCACGCCCTGAGCGCCGTACTCGACGTTCACGAACTCGGTGAAGCGCAGCAGTGCGAGCTTCGACGTCTACCAAGGGGGCAGCGGCGGTCAGACCCCAACGGAACGAGCGCAGAACGACATGAGGCCTTACCGAATACGCAGAGTACCGCGGGCTGAAGGTGTGCGCGCCGGTGCTGGAGACGTTCACGATCGTCCTGTCGCCGCCGCACCGGATGAGGAGCGGGAGGAAGGCGCGCGTGACGCCGTACGTCCCGCGGACGTTGGTGTTCCAGACGCTCCACCACTCCTCGGGGTCGCTGTCCGCGATGCGGCCGCAGCGTTCGAGGTAGCCTGCGTTGTTGACGACGACGTCGACGCGCCCGAACGTCGTTTCCACGTGCGCAGCCGCAGCGGCGACCTGGTCGGTGTCGGTGATGTCCGCGGCGAGGGTGAGCACTTCGAGCGGACGGCCGGGACCCTGGGCCGCGAGGCACTGCTGCTTGACGACGTCCAGGTTCGAGCGGGCGAGTAGGACGAGGCCCGACGCGCCTGCTTGCGCCACTGCGAGGGCAATCGCTCGACCAATGCCCTTGGAGGCACCGGTGACGAGAACAACTTTGCCGCCCAGATCTGCGTGCTTAGGGTCCACGGCGGGGTAAGTGTCGTGTCCGTCGGCAGGGATTAGCTCTGCACCTAGTAGAAGCTCGGTGTCAGCTCGAGCTAAAATATACTGACTTTGTACCGACTCACCATTATATTCAGCCATTTCCAGGTCGAATTATCTTGGAGACGAGGCCGCCTGGCGCTCTTGTATATATGCAGTGCTCCGGCATCCAGGCTGATGCATACGCGTCGCGGCAGGAGCGGTCCCTAAGCATCTTTTCGCGACTACCCGGACTGCCGGTTATATCGGCCTTTGTGCTCAAGACGCTTGCCGACAATGCATACGTGGCTGTATTGCTCATTGCCGGAAGTGAGGTCTTCTCGAGAAACCATTGGCGGCGAGCCACGCAATGTGAAATACACCCTGCGCATTCGCGAGTGCTTAGACGACCGAGAAGATCGCGTACCGAGGCGGTTTCCAAGTCGGACGCCGACCAGTCTTTGTTTCCCCTGCACTCACCGTGGCACGTAAGCTCGGCCTCGGCCTAGCGAATAGTCGAAGGTTGACCGGGTAGGCCTACCGCGTGAATGCCGTGCACAGGCCCAGTAAATCATATATGAATAAGCATTTCATTTCGCATGAAAATAAGTACATGAAAATTCTGGGCGCACGGCAATGAGCACACCCTGTTCGCTGCAACAAACCATAGCACTCACCCACCCCACGCCACTCACGACCTCCCCGCGACGCGCGCCCTCAGAACAAAATCATGTTGCCCTGGTACAGCGCCTCCCGTTCGCCCTCGGTGATCCGCCCCTTGCGCGCCATGACGTCCTCTTCGGTGTACGCCTCGAGACCAAAGACCTTCATTGCCTCAGCTCCTTTGACGTCCGCGGGCGTGTTCTGCCCGACGAATCCCGCCTCGCCGGGCCCGCCGGGGAAGTCTGGCGCGGGCAGGCCCTGGGCGAAGTTCAGGAGCTGCGAGCGGAGGTACCCGGCGCTACGAAAGAAAAAGGGAGGTGCGGCATCAGCTTTTGGCACGTGGAGTGGTTCAGCGTGGCGGAAAAAAACGCACTTTCCGACCGTGAACGGGACGGCGGGGACGTACAGCACCGCGGAGTCGTGCGCGCCGGTGTGCGCGGCCTCGACGGCGTGCACGAGGTCGCAGTGCCCTGGGTGCACACTCAGCTCAGCTCAGTGTTGATGTTTCGGCCAGAAGAAAAATGGTAGGGACGCACAGAAGACCTGGTCGCCAGGGCGCACCGCCGGCACGCTCACGAGCACACCACCAGCGTCGAGCCGCAGGTGCGGGTGCGTCGCGTCGCTGAGGACCTGCGCCTTCGCAGGGACGGAGCCCGGGAAAGCGGGCACGTCGAGCGCGGGTTCCCAGCTGCCAAAGTCGAGCAGGGGCCTGCCGCCTGCAGAGACGACGTTTTCAGCATCGCGGGCTCGCGGACGAAGAAGAGGCTATATAGGCTGACCGTTGGCACCTGCGGCGCGCTCGGCGCGCGCGGTGGGTCTGAAGAACGGGCGGAGCATGATGTACGCCGTCGCCTCTTTGAGGAGCGGCAGCACCTGGAGGGTGCCCTCTCCTGGCGCCGTGTGCGAGAGCGAGAGCCAGCCCTGGAGCGGGCGGAGAATCGAGCACTGGTTGCTGTGCGGAGGCCGGTCAGGGTGGCGGTGCGCGAGCAGAGGACATGGGTCACTCACGGCGCGTTGTACAGATCCTGGTTCGCGCCGACCCGCTCGGTGAGGTCCCACGCGTCGTAGCCCCGCCAGCCGCTCCCGCCCTGGAAGATCGTGCTGTACGCCCTGCGGTATTGTTCGTCCTCCCACCGCTCGATACTGCCCCCGTCCATGTGCGGCCCGAGCGTGAATTGGGACGGGCCTGGGGGCCGGATGCGCAGGCGGTCGAAGTAGGATATGGGGGTGTGGAGGGAGACAGGCGTCGTTGGAGACGCATGGAAGAGGGAGGCGAGAAGCGATTCGTGCGTCTTGATGACGTGTGGGTGAGAGCGCGCCTGGATCTGGGCAGGGCTTCCGTAGAGTTCGTAGAACACGATATTCTCTGCCGGCGACCCTGCATGCACAGTACTTTCACGTTGGCAAACCGCAGAAGGCACATCCATACGCCACGCACCTTTAATATTCGCCTTGTTTGCGGTGATGTATTCGCGCGTGGCGCGAATCCAGTCGCGTGCCTCCGCTTCCGGGACAGCACCGCGGATGATGGCACATCCAGACGATTTCATGGCTTCGATTTCATTTGCAGAGAGTCCTGCGTTGAGCGACGAGTACGGAATCTCTGGCACACTCTGCGACTGGTTAGCAACGCAGTCTATAGAGTATAGCGACGGAACGGACCTGACTCCCGCGAGCTATCACGTTCCCGGTAGCGTCCTCCAGCTCCTTCAGCACTTCCCTCCAACTTTCAACAAGGCCGTCAGTCCACAGCTGCTGCTTGAGGTGCGCAAATCGTTCAGGAAACGGAGGCGATTCGTGAAACGAGCTGAATATCTCTTCGATTGTGCCCTCGCTGTTCTTATTCTGAAGGGCCGCACCGGTTGACGCCGCTCTGCGGTGATGAGATGCCTTCGAGGCCAGGTGTCTGCGCAAGGCCGAAGGGGCTCCACGGCGGAGAAACATTTCTGCGCGTTGGTCCGTACGCAAGAGCAAGAGTGGAAGTAGGAGTCGCCATCGCCGTCGAGCCTAGTATTTGATGTTAGGTAGGGTCGTGACTGGCCTGGCTGTCCCACGTAAGACAGAAGCACACCGCAGAACTGACCTGCTGACTTCACGGCGCTGTCGCAATCGCAACACCATACCGTCCTCCGCGCTTCATGGTTCCCACACGCGTAAGGCGAACTTGCCCATGCGAGATCGGCTCCCGCGTTCGACGCATTTGCCGCTGTCGAGACTGCTTTACGTTGGACCAATGCTGCTGAAGAGGTTGGGTGTGCATAAGAGTCCGGACAGCGACGAGGGTCGCGTCTAGTGTTGCGGAAGAAACTACCCGTCGGTGTAACTTACCGGTGTCAGAAAGTAATGGTCATAAGGCTGTAAGTAAGGGATGTAAGTTCCCATTTCTTACATAGGCGTCTAATATATAAGTTACGGTAAGTAAATGTAAGAAAAGCGTGTAAGTTACAGGGTCAGTTGTAAGTTGGCTCAGCGTCGGGACACTGGAGGACTCCGAGGCCACCCCCGGCAGTGCCGCTACGTCTTTTCTTAATTCAGATGACTCTGGTACCTCTTCTGTTAGCAGTGCTTCCAAGGCAGAGAGGCTGAGGTTTAGCTCGGGCTCATCGGGAGAGCTCTCAACCGAGAGCGTCGAGCTCATCTCCTCTGCAGCACGAGGTAGGCTTCGTGATCCGGCCAGATGAGATGCCGATATTGACCTGCTTGTTCTCTTGCAGGAAGTGCCAGGAACCAGATGAGAGCCCTTGGATTGCCGGCCGCCTGCAGAGCTTGCATCGAACATTGGTACAGCGTAATCGTTCAACGGGTCGCCATACTCTACAGTCCATCGGGGTACATCCGCAACTGCTATGACGCAATGATTGTCACTAAAGTGGAAGATACCGCCACGTCATGCTGTATGCAAGTGACACAAGTCTTGACCAATGCCGTGCAGCGTCAAACCACGCTTGTCATGGGGAACGGTGTTTGATACAGTGAAGTCAACTGGTTGGCTGCCCATACATTCAGAGTGGAGCCACATTCAGTGGCCCCTCAATAGTCTTCATATCTTGGCGGAGCGCAGCTATTTCAGCTGTTGGCATTGAATGTGAACCATTCATCTTCTAATATATTTGCTGACTCAACAGTCTTGACATGGTCTCTGTCAACCGCCACTGAAAGAGCCACTTCATGAGGGTAGACAATCAATAGACTTGTGCGGAATTGTGAATACAGAATCTACATCGGCTTCCCTGTTGTCTGTAGTGCAAGCGAGAACATATTTCCGGCAGTAATTTCACTTGCACTGGCACAGATGACAGATTAATTCCACCAAAAATCACAAAAATATTTGCCTAGCTTGTAACCATCATGCTTAGGCTGGCACATGCCCTGTCGTGCCATTGGATCCCAAAACTCATTGATCGAGACTTTCTTACACTAACTTACACTGCTATTTTCAGTATGCCTGTCAGAAAAGTAAGTTACCAGTAAGTTACACCTGACTTTCTTCCGCAACACTAGTTGTATCAAAAAATGCCAGAAATGCTGCTTAATGGATGTGGCAACGACCTATTCTGAGGATAAACTGGGTGCGTTGCAAATGTTGTTTCTGAACTTGACACAAACTTTTATGAAACCATGTCTGTAAGTACTACTAAGCTGCTATTAACTATAGTACAGCTGAAGTAGAGCTTGCAACCTCTTTCAAGACACCACCCAAAAGGCAAACACTCAAATGAGTGTCGGGCCAGGCGACACACTGCTAGACGTCAGATAAAAATGGAGGTGCTATCGTCTTTGTGGCACTCGGCATGATCCATCGACATGGCCGGCGAGAGCACCCACTAGTATTTGTCCCTGCCAGGAACCGTCTTGCCATGTGGCATTTCCTGTACCGACCGCACAGAACCACCACCACACTATCGAGCTCGGCTAAGTCTGGCCACGGCTCTGCATGTGGTGTCTTGAACTACACAACATCTCTTGCTGCTGATACACAAAAGAAGAATAGTGCTGCTTCTCAAATGTACCTCTAGTTGGCAAGCTGCCACCGCCACTCTTAACTTCCCTCGTGGCAACTGCTTGTTTGCTGCTCAGGCGACACACAATGCACTCACATCACAGGTGAGAACACCGCATGCTGCGTCCACACTTGGCATGTTACTTGTCAAGTATTGCTTCTGTGTGCTGATGGACTCTCTCGGCATACAAGTACTTGGTTCCGAGCTCTAAAGTATTGGAGCTGATTCAGTTCAGCAGCCTGAACATGGAAACTTATTGAGTTACACCAGACTAGCCACCCAGAAGCGCCTGAGTGGCTAAGACGTGCTTGAGAATTTCTGAAAAGCCCAAAAAATGTCATAAGCAGAAATTGAACCTGTGACCTAAAAGTAACCTCAACACATCACACCACTAGGGCATAAGCTCTTGAAAGTGTAGAAACAGAATTACCATATATTACCAATTTTCCACACTGGTGTGGCTCAGACATTACTGTGGCTCAGACATACCATGTACAATACTACAATCTTACTGTAGTTACAATAATTTCCAAGCAGCGCAACCGAGCATGAAACTCAGCGATAGAGTAGTGAGGCCCCTTACCAAAACACCTGGAAAGAGAGGCTTTCTGCTTGAGAGGCCAATGGCAGGACCAGCCAACAGCAGGGCATGCTGCTCCTATACATGTGTTGTGTAAGAGATCAATTCGGGGTTGTAGATGTACTTGATCCAGCAACCTGTTTCATTTTCCACATAGTGGTATATCTTGGACTGTCGAGAGAATAAGAGATGAGATTACGAGGAAACATGCTGATACTCACCACATTGATTTCTGGAATATCTTTGAATGCCGAGAAGCATCTGTCTACAAGTTGCTCATACATGTATGCTCAACTTCACTACTTCTTCAAGAATGCATTCCCACTGTAATGGCTGCACAGAATATCAGCTGGGATCGAGGAATAAGACATGCCAGTCATTTCTTAATTTATATATATATATATGTACCCAGGTAAGTCTCATTAGTCTAATTGCAGGGCGACAGCATTTACAAAGTGGCATGCTTCACCTTGGTCTCCATTAGCCTCCTTACTGCCCCCATCAAACTCTCACCCTGTATTGCGCAAAAAATTGATACAAGCCAATTGTACAGTTTGTGTTCCATTGCCTCAAGCTCTTCTGGTTGCCAGACATGTTGAGCTTTTGAACTGACAGCTGTGGTAGTTCAAAAGCGTATGGTAAGTATGAGGAATCAGTTGAGAATCCGGCAACCACCTTCAACTGATTAGCTCCCACCTCCTCAACTTCTTTTGTACGGTTGGATGCTGAGCGCAAATGCAACAGTGGTCAGAACTGGGCACAAGATGCAAAGGAGTTGAGCTTGAGGACTGAGGGCCATGGCAGTTTGAGAGCGTACAGTAAGTATGAGCTACAATGGCAGTTGGCACTGGGCACAAGATGCAAGGTAGTCGAGGATAGAGGAGTGTGGAGAAGGCAGTTGTATGATGAGCAACAACACTAAACCAAGAATGAAGACTTACCTGTAATAATGGCTCTGAACCACCTTCCAGATGATTGAAGATGGCTGGTGAACCGAACAACAGCGCGTAGAGGATACAAGGTGTGAGGTAGTCAAGGATAGAGGGTGTGGAGGAGGCAAAAGACAGTGGGTTGTATGGTGAGCAATGACACTGAACCGAGAACTAAAGACTTACCTGGGAGAAACCACTCTAAACTTCCTTCCAGACAATTGAAAAGGGCTTTTGAGTTGAAGGACGGTGCGCAGAGGGTTGGAAGTCCAAGGTTGTTGGAGATAGAGGAGTGGGCAGTGGGCAGCAGACAGCGCCGTCCATAGTGAGTGACAGCATGGAAATAAGAATTGGAGACTTACCTAGAGCACTCAGAAGACCGCACAATGATTCTAAGTCAAAGGATGGTGCGCAGAGAGTTGGAAGTGCAAGGTTGTAGAGATAGAGGAGTGAGCAGTGGATGCAGTCCATGGTGAGTAACAACACGGAAACAAGAATTGGAGACTTACCTGGAGCACTCAGAAGACCACACAATGGTTCTAAGCTGAAGGATGGTGTGCAAAGGATTGGAAGTGCAAGGTTGTGGAAATAGAGGAGTGGGCAGTGTACACAGTCCATGGCGAGTAACAACACAGAAACAAGAATTGGAGGCTTATCTGGGGGCACTCAGAAGCCTAAGTGATGAGGCAATGGAAGTGAAGCTGATAGAAGGTGTGAGGTGGTTGAGGATAGAGGTGGAAGGCAGTCAAAGAGGGGACGGCACAAGAGAGTGGCAATAATAAGCACTAAAGTACATTAGAGAGAGCGCAAGGCATATAGAATCACAACACTGTGTTTGCAGACCGTATACTGAGCCAGTGAGCAAGCTCACGCAGGTTTTCACAGATGTAAGTAAGCTGCTCTCACACCTTCGTAGAGCGAGTGGCAGGCAGTACGTGCCCAGCTGTACAGCACAGCAGGACTGAACCAAATGAGCTTGGGAACACTACAAAGGCAATGGTGAGCAGGCCAGTTTCTGCATGGCTAAGCCTTTGGACTGTGGCTGAGATGTCAGCCACATGAGTGGCTGAAGAAAGGTTGTTAGGTCAGTACCTAACAGTTAGAGTGTATGGTCTGGTGGTGCAAGTGTTAGTGTTTATTGGGCAACTGGTGGGTTCAATTCACACTTGCTGTGTGATTGTTTTATTATGATTACACTAATTACAATGTCTTAGCCACGACCATCTCTCAGCCAGGATTGTGTCTCAGCTAGGACCATGTCTCAGCCAGGACTTAAGATGCTTAGTGGATTTGGGTGCTTATGAATGTCCAAGCCGGTGTGGCTAGTCTGGTGTAACATAATAAGTTTGGATGTTTGTGCTACCAAACTAAAACTCTTGGACCATGAGATATCGGGACATGGCACACATCCAAGTAAGTAACACTGGTCACACTCCTCAATGGCAGATGCCATAGACTGTATGTGGCATCAGCACACCAGGACATGTGTAATGCTGAGCAGCAGAACAGTTCAAAACTCTCATACACCTGCATCCCCCACTCTGCATCATTCCACCTCTTATGCAAGCACAGTAACTGGTCATCGCCTTAAAACAAAGAAAAAGAA